AATTCTTCCTCACTTCCTGCCCTACACAGCCTACATATTTCCCTGTCCTGTTTCTCAGCTGCCCTGTCCTACCCCAGAAGTGGCTGCATGTCAGTGGGGAGAGTCTTCTTCTTTTGTGTATGTCACAAGTGGATATCTATGTAACCCTTCTGCCAGTGGCGTCGGAAGCGACCAGGGCCGGGTTCAATATCTAGATGTTCCTTTCCAGCAATACAACACAGATCCGGCTTCAGCACCCAACCAGTAACCTGGGACAAGTACACATCCACCCCATGGGTGCTTCTACGGGGGAAAGCTTCCCCTCTTGCAAGCACAGAGTCTCAGTGCAGAAAAGAAACTTTTTATAAAAGGAGGGAAGGTCCCCGACATTAACTTGGGAAAATGCCACAAATAGGATTTATAATCATAAAACCATGAGCAAAACACCTCCCCCAGAGTACGTTGGGCAGTGTCTTTTGCCTCAGGATCTTGAGTCCAGCAACCAAAAATTCCTTTAAGGTGCCGCTCTCTTCTTCCTCCACTGCACTGCACTTGCAGTGGTTGTTGTCCTTGGTTAGTGAAGACCCAGAGTTCAGAGGTGCAGCTGTGTGAGTTTAGCTCCCACCATGGGGGCAGGGAGGAGAGCGCCTGGCTCGCTCTGCTGTCTGGGTGCCTGCTCTGGTGGCAGCTGCCCCGCCAGCCACTCACCACTCTGCTCACCCTCACCTTCTGCCGCCCCCGGCCTCTCTGCTGTGACCTCTGCAGGTTGCTCTCTTCAGTCTCCACCCAGCTCTCAATGACAGTCACCTCTTAGTGGGGAAACCTGAGTACCGAAGCAGGCAGGGCAAAAACACTGTCTCACAGCAGGTGATTTCAGCTCTAGTGATCACTTGAACCAAAAAGACTCCTAATGGAGCCTTAATTAACTCTATCTTTGAAGAGTGGTGAGGGGCAGATTAAGATTAAGATTAGGTGAGGGGCCTAGACCTCTTACACAGTACGCACACACCTCAGCAGGAACATCCATCTCCACCTCCTCTCATTCTTGATAGGGGTCTGGTGTCTGAGCCCCCTGGTTAGTGAGTTCAGTTCAGTTGTGGGTGACCCACTCAGTCAGGGCAGGCTAAGCACAGTTCTGCTGCCCTTTACTCACACAAGCAGGACAACAACATTTCACTACCCTTGCATTGAAGTACTACAGTGATTTGTATCCCAGTACTAGCCAACAAAGCTCTGTAGGCTGGATACCTAGGCAGAGTGGGTGTGTTCTTGTAAACACAATCTGGTCCTGAAGCCTTTTCTAAGGGGGATGGACTCTGGGTGACGGTTTCAGGGAGCTATGGAGCCAACACATGTAAATTCGATGCTGATGTCAGGCTAAGGCAACAACTAATGACACGGGTGACTGTGTTCAGCTCCCAGTCACCAAGATGCTAATGCCAGCGTCTGCCCCACAGCACTGCACAGTATCGCACTGGAGCGGATACCAGCGCCAGGAGTGTCGGTGTAAATCTGCTCCCCAGGAGGTTCCTGCCAGCCGTGCGGGGGGTGATCTTTTTAAGTGCTGTAGTGGGAGCAGTAGGTCAGACTGCAATACAGTCTGCCTAATTTGATGACAGCCTAACTAGGTGAGAGCTGGCTGGGAGGGGAGTGGACAAACTTCAACATTGCCCAATGTTTAGGCTGGTCAGTGGTGGGGAGCCCTTGACAGGCAGTGGCAGAGACCGATCAGATTCGTCTGCAGGAGGTGCTAAGTTCCCCAGCCACACGAGAGATCAGATGCACAGGAACCTCCCTGCGTGTTTATTCTCTTGGGTGTTTGCAGAGGCTGCCATCTCAGAAGTGGCTCAGCTCCGACTGGTGAACAGCAGGAGTCACTGCGCTGGGAGAGTCGAGGTGCTTCGCAACCAGCTGTGGGGAACCGTGTGTGATGACAGCTGGGACTTACAGGATGCCGGAGTTGTGTGCAGGCAGCTGGGCTGTGGGACGGCGTTATCAGCCCCAAGAGGGGCTCGATTTGGGAAAGGATCTGACCATATCTGGCTGGATAACGTGAACTGCACAGGGACAGAAGTTGCCCTCTCCGATTGCAGTGCTCGGCCTTGGGGAGTGAATAACTGTACCCACAGAGAAGATGCCAGTGTTGTGTGCTCAGGTAACTTGCATCCATTACGTCACTGTGGGTGGTGCAGGGATCGGGCTGGGAAGCTTTCAGCACAGACCCAGCTCTCCTGTCTGAGTCTGCGCTGACCCCAGTGCCCCAGCATGGCGCTAAGGGCCTGTATTGCAGGTAGGGGGGTGTCAGTTGGGGGTGCTCTCCATTTGCAGTTGTGCTGGCCCTAATACACCAGTGTGGTGCCATGGGCCTCTAACATGAGGAAGCCTTGTCTGTGCCCACTGGCGGCAGCTCCTCGCCTTCCTCGGCCACAGGCAACACAAGCCATTCTCTCTAGGCCTTGTGGAGGGGGTGACCGCTGTCGAGGTTGGCAATATGCACGCTTCACCCCTCAGCCCTCCGAGTGTCCTCCTGCAGCACCTAGTCCGTGTCTCCCTGGGCATTCACACCAGTCACAGATCTACTGCTCCCAAAGGACCACAGTCCCAAGGTGACCAGCTCCACCTCCCATCTCTGCCCCAATCAACACACAGCTCCAGATTCCTTCACAGTCACACCAAGGAGAAGTGATTTCACAGAGTGTAGAGATTTGAGGGGTAGCCAGGAGAAGGGTTGGAAAGAAATGGTTCCATGGCCAACAAAATCATACTAGGCTGACTAGAGCGTAGACTCATTAAACAAGATACTTTTCTGTCTGGTAGAGCAACACTCACTCCACAGTCCTTCCAGGGTTTTACTCCAGGCTTGGCTGTGATCTCCTTTTCCTGAGACAAATGCTGACAGTCGCCTCCTGGGTGAAAGGGAGCTCTTGTCCCCTCTCCTCTTTCTTTGTAGGTACAGACCATTGTTTCTTCCCAGAGGAGGTCTCTGTTCGGAGACTTGTGCTGAGGATCCTTTGTCTTTGTAAATTCTCAGGCCCCTACTGGGCCCAGACAGTGAATATAGCCTGTCTCCATGGCTGTGTTGTATGTGCTGATTGGCTCTATGGAAGGGATTGCCATGGTGCAGGTGAAAAGCTTCACTTCAACACTTCTAGAGCATCATCTTCTATATTTTACATCTCTCTTCAACTATGTCCCATAGAAACATCTTGCTCCCATTAGATGGACCAGCAGGCTGCTGGCTTTTGGTAGAGGCATCACATGACACCTTTGGTGAGCTATTGTGCATATATCTCACCCAGGGGATCCTTGTATAACTCTAGGCATCCCTGTGCCCTCTGCCAGTTGGCGTTGTGAAGCAAGGTGATTCTTTCCCCCAAGAATCAGGCAGCACAGACAATACTGAAGAGGTTTATTCACAGCACCGAAAAGACTCATAAATAGATTCAAAAGTATGATGTTTCAGTGAGCAGTTATATAAATTTTCTTATTATTCCATTTGTATTTATTGTGTACTTACAGAGAGAAACATTGTTTCAGCAAAAGAGAGGGAGGGAAAGAACACTTAACATGATAATGACGGGAACAGAAGATACGCATAGAAACCATCCTGATTACATCAATTATTTATGACTACCCTGAAGGGGAAGGGGTGGGGTGGGGTGGGGATAGGGATGAATGTTCACAGATATCTGGAGAGCAGCGGAGGGTTTGTACTGGTCTTTCTTACTGAGAGGCCAAGTTACAGGGTGGACATCTGACCATTTAAGTTATCAAGTGTTTACAGCTGCCACTGTCCTTGGGCCTGCTTGTTAGTTACCTGGGTTTCTGCCTCAGCTGCTAACTGAATTTTTAACTCTTGCCTAACAGCGTCTACTTATCTCTGGGCCAGACTCCTCTGTGGCACAATGGGGACCTGGGTAACTGCAGCTTCCACTGGTCGGATTTGGTGTCAACGGAGCCTGCAGCTGCTCACTCAAACTAAAAATCCAGGGCCAATTTCTCAAGAGTCTGGTTCCTAATCACTGTGTTCCGGCAGATTTGCATTTCAGGGAATTAGTCCTGAAGTTGTAACTTCCCCAGGAGCTGGACACAGGAGACACAATTCTTCCTCACTTCCGGCCCTACAAAGCCTACATATTTCCTTGTCCTGTTTCTCAGCTGCCCTGTCCTACCCCAGAAGTGGCTGCATGTCAGTGGGGGGGTCTTCTTTTTTGTTTCAAAGTAGCTGCCGTGTTAGTCTGTATCCGCAAAAAGAACAGGAGTATTGTGGCACCTTAGAGACTAACAAATTTATTTTAGCATAAGCTTTTGTGGGCTACAGCTCACTTCTTCGGATTGTCACAAGTCGATATCTATGTAACCCTTCTGCTAGTGGCATCGGAAGCGACCATGGCCGGGTTCAATATCTAGGGGTTCCTTTCCAGCAATATAAAACAGATCCGGCTTGAGCACCCACCCAGTAACCTGGGACAAGTACACATCTACCCCATGGGTGCTTCTACGAGGCAAAGCTTCCTCTCTTGCAAGCACAGAATATTTTTTAATAAAAGGAGGGAAGTCCCCCGGCATTAACTTGGGGAAAAGCAACAAACAGGATTTATAAACATAAAACCATGAGCAAAACACCTCCCCCAGAGTATTTTGGTCAGTGTCTTTTGCCTGAGGTTCTTGAGTCCAGCAACCAAAAGTTCCTTTAAAGTGCTGCTCCCTTCTCCCTCCACCACACCTCACTCATAGTGGTTGTGCTTGGTTAGTAAAGACACAGAGTTCAGAGGTGCACCTATTTGAGTTCAGCTCCCACCATGGGGGCTGGGAGGAGAGTGCCTGGCTCGCCTTGCTGTCTGGGTCCTTGCTCTGGTGGCAGCTGCCCTGCCAGCCACTCACTACTCGGCTCGCCCTCACCTTCTGCTGCCCCCGGCCTCTCTACTGTGACCTCTGTAGGTCGCTCTGTTGAGGCTCCACCCAGCTCTCAGTGACTGCCAGCTCTTAGTTGGGAAACCTCAGTGCTGAAGCAGGCTGAGCAGAAACACTGTCTCACAGCAGGTGATTTCAGCTCTAGTTATCACTGAAACCAAAAAGACTCCTAATGGAGCCTTTATTAGCTCTATCTTTGAAGAGTGGTGAGGGGCATATTAAACCATTTCTAGACGTCTTACACAGAGCCCACACCCCTCAGCAGGAGCACCCATCTCCACCCCCTCTCACTCTTGATAGGAGTCTGGTGTCTGTCTACCCATCAGAGTTGGCAGCAACAAGGGCCGGGGTCAGTATTTAGGGGTTCCATTTCAATAACACAACACAAAACCGGCTCAAGCCCCCACCCAGCAACCTGGGACAATTACATACCATCCCCCTGGGCGCCTCTAAGAGGCAATGCTTCCCCTCTTGCAAGCACAGAGTCTGAGTGTAGCAAAAGCCTTTTAATAAAGGAGGGAAACATTATCCTGCATTATGTTGGGGAAACTCCAGTAACAAGATTCCTAACACAAACCATGAGCAAAAAACCCTCTCCCAAGTAAGGTTGGCAGTCTCCTTTTCCCCTCAGGATCTTAAGTCCAGCAAACCAACAGTCATCCCTCCCACAGTTTCTGACCTTGGTCAGTGCAGCCCCAGAGTGGTTCGTGAGTCCCGCAACCCAACAGCCACCGCTCCCACTGTTTTTGTCCTTGGTCAGTGCAGCCCCCCAGAGTTCAGAAGTTCATCTGCAGAGTTTACTTCCCCTTGCGTTGGTGGAAGTGGGGGTAGAATGGGGGGGCATCTTGCATGCTCTGCTGCTCGGATTGACGGCTGATTGCCATGCCTTTCTGTGGGGTTCTCCTGCAATCTTCACCGCCAGCTGCTCCGCTTCGCCAGCCGCCCTGCTATCCGCTCCACCAGCTGCACCTCTCCACTATCCGCTCCACTCCGCCAGCCACCCTGCTATCTGCGCCACCAGCTGTGCCTCTCCACTAGCCAGCCTGCTAGCCACTTGCCAACTTCTCTTCAGTCCCCCCACTTAACACAGCTCTCAGTGACTGCAGCTCTTAGTGATTTTAGCTGGTAATAGGGGAGCCTCAGTGCTGGTGCACCACTAGCCCAAATTAGGTTGAATGCTTAGAACCAGGTATCAGTGATTTCAGCTCTGTAGCATGTAAGAAGACTTCTAATGAAGCCAAAATTAGCTTTGTTGTTACACAAAGGAGAGAGAAGTAAGAGTGGTGTTCAGGGCCCTCAGAAGGGGCCCACACTACCAAATACACATACCTATCACAGCCTTTCTCAATTCACTGGGTTTTGGAACCCATGTCCCTTGCCTAGCGAGTGCTAATCAGTTGAGGGTGAGTCCCTCCATCATACAACCCCAAGTACAGTACTACTGTCCTTGATTCACATAACCTGAATAACAAGACTTCATTACTCCTGCCCCAATAACAAAGAGACTGGGGATCCCACAGCAGCCAAAGTGACCATTTGGGCAAGCAGTCCATCATGCTAGGCAAGGGTGGGTGTGCCCTGAAGTCCTCACCACCAGATGTCAGGGTAGAGCCCATTCTGACTCTGTTTACATCTGAGCCCCCTGGTTAGTGAGTTCAGTTCAGTTGTGGGTGACCCTCTCGGTCCGCGCAGGCTAAGCACAGTTCTGCTGCCCTTTACTCAGACAATCAGGACAACAACATTTCACTCCCCCTGCATTCAAGTACTACAGTGATTGTAACCCAGCATCAGCCAACACAGCTCTGTCTGCTGGATACCTAGGCAGAGTGGCTGTGTTCTGTAAATACTATCTGCTCCTGAAGCCTTTGCCCCTCCCCAGCTCATCACTAGCTGTCAGGGGAGAGCTGTCAGTGTGACGGTTTCAGGGAGCTATGGAGCCAACACATGTAAATTCGATGCTGATGTCAGGCTAAGGCAACCACTAATGACACGGGTGACTGTGTTCAGCTCCCAGTCACCAAGATGCTTATCCCAGTGTCTGCCCTGCAGCACTGCAGAGTATCCCACCGGAGCAAATACAAGCACCAGGAGTCAGGGTGTAAATCTGCTCCTCAGGAGGTTCCTGCCACCAGTGCGGGGGGTGATCTTTATAAGTGCTCAAATGGGAGCAGTAGGTCAGACTGCCATCCAGTCTGCCTAATTAGGTGACAGCCTAACTAGGTGACAGCTGGCTGGGAGGGGAGTGGACAAACATCATCATTGCCCAAGTTATTAGCCTGGTCAGTGGTGGGGAGCCCTTGATTGGCAGTGGCTGTGTGCAGAGACTGGTCAAATCCGTCGGCGGGAGGTGCTACGTTCCCCAGTGACATAAGAGATCAGATGTACAGGAACCTCCCTGACTGTTTATTGCCTTGGGTATTTGCAGACTCTGGCATATCAGAAGTGGCTCAGCTCCGACTGGTGAACAGCCCAAGTCGCTGCGCTGGGAGAGTCGAGGTGCTTCACAACCAGCTCTGGGGAACCGTGTGTGATGACAGCTGGGACTTACAGGATGCCGGAGTCGTGTGCAGGCAGCTGGGCTGTGGGACGGCGTTATCAGCCCCAGGTGGGGCTCACTTTGGGCAAGGATCTGACCGTATCTGGCTGGATGACGTCAACTGCACAGGGACAGAAGGTGCCCTCTCCGATTGCAGGGCTCGGCCTTGGGGAGACAATAACTGTAACCACAGAGAAGATGCCGGTGTTGTGTGCTCAGGTAACTTGCATCCATCACATCACTGTGGGTGGTGCAGGGATCGGGCTGGGAATCTTTCAGGAGAGACCCAGCTCGCCTGTCTGAGTCAGTGCTGACCCCAGTGCCCCAGCATGGTGGTAAGGGCCTGTACTGTAAGGAGCCATTTTGGGTTCACAGTAAGTGTCTCTCCTCCCATGGTATCAGTGCTGACCCCATTTCCCCACACAGTTCTACATGCCTGTGCTCCAGGGAGCGGGATGGGGGATCAGGAGGGGGTGCTGTCCCCTCTAAGTCAGTGCTAGGCCAGTGCCCCAGCACTCCACTTAGGGTCTGTGCTGCAGGGAGCAGTTCGTGTTCCTCTGTGAAAGACCCTCCCAGCTACAGCACAATGGGGCGCTGGGTAACTGTAGATCCCATTTGTGTGATTTGGGGTTGAATGGATCCTGCAGCCACTCAAGGATACCTTTATGATGTGTGGGGTTCCTATCTATGTCACTCTGGGTGATTTACATCTCAGCTAATTACCCATAAAGTTGTAATATACCCCACTGTTGTGACTGGAGACAGGGTTCTTCCTAACTACCTCTCCTACACAGCTTATGAGTTTCTGTGCCCTGTCTCTCTGTTCCACCCCACAGGGTGGCTGCATGGTAGTGGTGGGGAGTAGGGCTGTCAAGTTATTAAAAAGATAATCATGATTAATTGTGAGATAAAAACATTATCATTATTAATTGTACAATTAATCGCATCTTTACAGAATAATAGAATACTATTTATTTCAATTTTTCGAGATGTTTTCTACATTTTCAAATATATTGATTTCAATTACAACAAAGAATACAAAGTGTACAGTGCTCACTTTATATTTATTTTTGATTACACATATTTGCACTGTAAAAAAGAAACAAAACAAATATTATTTTCAGTTCACCTCATACAAGTACTGTAGTGCAATCTCTTTATCAGGAATGTTGAACTTAAAAATGTAGAATGATTTACAAATAATAACTGCAATCAAAAATAAAACAATGTAAAATTTTAGATCCTACAAGTCCACTCAGTCCTACATCTCATTCAGCCAATCGCTCAGACAGAGAAATTTGTTTACCTTTGCAGGAAATAATGCTGCTTGCTTCCTGTTTACAATGTTACCTGAAAGTGAGAACAGGCATTCACATGGCACTGTTGTAGCTGGTGTAGCAAAATATTTATGTGCCAGATGCGGTAAAAATTCATTTGTCCCTTCACGCTTCGATCACCATTCCAGAGAACATGCATCCATGCTGATGATGGGTTCTGCTCACTAACGATCCAAAGCAGCGCAGACCGAAAAATGTTCTTTTTCATCATCTGAGTCAGATGCCAACAGTAGAAGGTTGATTTTCTTTTTTAGTGGTTCAGGTTCTGTAGTTTCCACATTGGAGTGTTGCTCTTTTAAGACTTCTGAAAGCATGCTCCACACCTTGTCCCTCTCAGATTTTGAAATGCACTTCAGATTCTTAAACCTTGGGTTGAGTGCTGTAACTAGTTTTAGAAATCTCATATTGGTTCTGTGACGTTCCCCTCTGGTGTTATCTGGACTGGTGATCTGCTAGGTCACTCCAATCCTTGTCTGTGGGAGCCAGCCTTTCCCTGCTCTACTGTGAGAACCCCCACTTCTGGGCTGTTCACACACAGCCTCTGACATGTAAGCTGCTCCTTGGATTGTGCAACCAAATGACACTAGCCAATATTGCCAGTCCCAGACCCAACCTGAGGAACCTCCTTCTTGCACTCTCCAGTTATGCCCGCTGGACGCTGCAAGCTTATATGAGTTCGTCAATTTAACAAAGAAATTGGGATGTACCAGGCTTGTTATCCCAAGGGAATTCTCTGACATGCTTCAAACCAAACACGCTGCTTCAGGTTGAACAAACAAACTGAGTTATTAACTATGAAGATAGATTTTAAGTGATTATAAGTCAAAACAGAACAAGTCGTATTTTGTCAGATTAAATGAAAGCAAAACACAGTAAAATCTGTTTTTTCCATCACTTCGCCAACAGGAAAGCTCTATAAATCGGTGTTTCTGATCTTAATTGAAATGCCCGTTTATAGTCCGGTTGGCGTGATGCCGGCAAGGTGCTGGGGTTCAGGAGGGGGTGTGGAGCGTGGGCTCTAGGAGGGACTTTGGGTGTGGGAGGGGTCTCAGTATGCGGGAGGAGGTGCGATGTGTAAGATCCATGTGCAGCTCACCTTGGATGACTCTCCGTAAGCGGTGACCTGTCCTGAGCTCTGGCTACTCCTAAGCAGAAGCATGCCAGGTGGCTCTGCATTTTGCCCCCCCATGCCAGCTGCACAGCTCCTATTGACTGGCAACCATGGCCAATGGGAGCTGCGGGGGTGGCACGTGCTGGCGGATATAGTGCACCAAGCCGCCTGCCGCGCCTCCACCTAGGAGGAGCCAGGACAAGTTGCTGCTTGCGGCGAGCCACCTGAGGTGAGTGCCCCCGGATCTGGCAGCCTGCACTCGATACCGTGCCCTAACTGCCTGCCCCGAGCCCCCTCCTGCACCCAAACGTCCTCCCAGAGCCCGTACTCCACACCCCCTCATGTGCCCCAACTCCCAGCCCCACACTCCCTCCTGAACCCAAACTCCCTCCCTCTTAGTTAACCAGCATTTTTCATTTACCGGCACCCCCCGTTTCCCCAACATGCCGGATAAAACAACTTTAACTGTAATAATATAAAGTGAGAACTATACACATCGTATTCTGTGTTGTAATTGAAATCAATATATTTGAAAACATAGAAAATATGCAAAATATTTAATAAATTGCAATTGATATTCTATTGTTTAACAGTGTGATTAAAACTGCGATTAGTGATCAATTTTTTTAATCATGATTTTTTTTTGAGTTAATCGCGTAAGTTAACCGTGATTAATTGACAGGGAGTGAACCCCTAACAGGCTTTTGCAGAGGCTGTTGAAACCCATCAGTGGGAGTTGCTATGTTCTTCTTTGCATGATTTCTCATGTTCATACCAATAGGTGTGCGCGCATGCACGATCATCGGAAGGTTTTTCCCTAGCGGTACCCATCGGGTTGGCTGTGGAAACCCCTGGAGTGGCGTCTTCATAGTGGTGTATATAGTTCCCTGCAGACCTGCCATGTGCTCAGTTCCTTCTTACTGCCAGTGATGGTCGTTGGAGCAGCTGAGTCTTTTGCATTCGCAAGTGCCTACCTAGTGGTTAGGGTGACCAGATGTCCCGATTTTATAGGGACAGTCCCGATTTTGGGGTCTTTTTCTTATACAGGCTCCTATTACCCCCCATCCCCCTCCCGATTTTTCACACTTGCTGTCTGGTCACCCTACTAGTGGTTCCCTTTTTTTAGTTGTAGATAGTTAATAGTTAGTTATATAGTAGTTTCTAGTAAGTTGGACTCACTTTGGGGGGCTTTCCCCCCACCCCAGTTTCCCCAGGCACCTGGGCATGCCTCGGTCACAGGGGTTTAAGGAGTGCGAGAGGTGTGCGAAACCTATGCCCACAAACGATCCACACGCTCCTTGTCTCAAGTGCCTAGGAGACGGTATCAGACAGACAAGTGCCCAATTTGCAGGAGCTTCAGACCCAGGACTAAGAGAGAGCGGGACTATCATTGAAAGCTCCTCCTGATGGAGTCAGCTACCGCACCCAGCCGGCACTGGAAATGGCACTGCATCATCGGTGCGCAGCCACCCGGCCTTGGTGTGGGATGTCCCGGCAGCAGGAAAGGACTCCTCCAAGGAGCACCAGCACTGCTGCCCTACTCGTAAGGCCAGTGCTACCAGGCGGCATCCTGGAGTCGGACCCAATGGTGGACATCCTTTCCCTGGACTGTCCATCTAGGGTGCCCTTGCCCCTGAGAAGAACGATCCAGAATACTACTAGGATGCTCTGGCAGATTCCGGCCTCAATACCACCCACTGCTAAAGGGGTGGAGAGATGCTATTTTTTGCCAAAGAAAGGGTACAAACACCTTTTCACCCACTCCCAACCGGGGATTCTGGTGGTCTTTGCGGCAAATCATAAGAAGCGACAGGGGCAGCCAGGTCCCACCCCAAAGTCACAGGATGCTAAGAAGCTGGACATTTTCGGCCGAAAGGTCTACTCGACCGGGGGGCTCCAGCTTCGAATGGCCAACCAGCAAGCGGTACTCAGCTGCTTCCAATTCCTGGAGCTTGTTAGCAAAATTCCAGGAGTTACTCCCAGCTGACTCTCACAAGGAGTTTAGCGCGCTCCTCGAGGAGGGCAGAGTGGTCTCGAGAACATCCCTCCAGGCCACGTTAAATGAGGCAGACTCAGCGGCTTGGACTATGGCCACCGCTATTACAAGGAGGTGCAGCGTGTGGCTGAAGGTGTCTGGGATACCATGTGAAGTCGAGAACACGATCCAGGACCTCCTCTTTAACCGTGCAGACCTGTTTGCCCAAAATATGGATTCTTGCCTGCACAACCTTAAGGATTCGAAGTGACTTTAAAACCTTTGGGGATCCACACCCCTGCACCCCAAAGAAAGCCATTTAAGCCTCAGCCCCCATCTCACTTCTACTCTGGGCCTCCGAGGCAAGACTCGTCCAGGAGACGGGTCAGGAATAACAGGAGACGCCCGCCACAGTCCTCCTCAGGCCAAGGCCAGGGTTTGGCCGAACAGCCCCCAGGCCCGAAGCCAAACTTTTGAAGAGGCGCCCGAGGATGGAGCATCAGTATTGAATTTGGATCCTTACCCTCCCTTTGTGAATTGATTCTCCCGCTTCTACCGTGCTTGGTCCCAGATCACTTCAGATCACTGGTCCTGAGCACAGTACGGATGGGATATTTTATCCAATTCTGTTCCCTCCTGCCCTCCCACCCCCTTTCCCCATTTCTCTTCAGGGACCCTTGTCATGAACGACTCCTCTTGCAGGAGGTGCAATCACTCCTCGCTTTAGGGGCAATAGAGGAGGTTCCTCAGGAGTTCAGGGGCAAGAGGTTCTACTCCCGCTATTTCCTCATCCCCA